TCTATGATTTGCTTGAAATCACTCAGGCAATGAGATGATCCAAGAGTCGATCTCAGCGTTCCTATCCCTCTGATTCTACTTCTTGTATAACTATGTGATGTGTATGACTTGAGGGAACAGTACCTGGGTCCTAACATTTAGTAGATCTCAAGCGAGGCTACAGTTACTATCACGCCACGCATTTCACTCTGTTGCTGTCTCACAAACAGCATTGCAATATCGAGCACTTATGAGTGAAATATAGAAATCTAGCATGTTTTCCCTGTCTGTTGGGATCTGGTTATCTGCCCGGGTGAGGGTCCTGTGAGGAGGTATGGTTTCAGATAACTTGGGGTAAGATGTTCAAAGCGTGGAGAGGACGATGTTCAGAGCTGAGTTAAGATGTGGCAGCTCTCACCAGTTAATAATAGCGTATGTATGTACACTGGGCCCATAATAAAGAACAGTTTAAATTGTCTAAGAATGATATAGCGACCCACTTCAGACCTTGCAGTTCCGTTGGAGAAGGACAAGCATATCCACCAGTAACTTAGGACATCTAAATAGTGTCAAGGTTAGGGTCCAGATGATGTAGCCCACCACCAGTGGAGAGATCATGCAAATTGGAGTGATTTCTGGGTACTTGCAAGATTTTGCCATGGGTATGAAATGTACATATTGCATATAGTATAACAGCTTTCTAGCTGATTGATTGAGAATAAAGAAAGAGGGTGGTCTTAGACATGTACATGTAAAAGAACAAGGCAGAATATGAAATATAATTAGACCTTTCTGGCTTTATAGAAATTTGTTGATAGTAAGAGTGGTATATTAATGTCAAAATACTGGTCTGGGGACAGGGGAGACAACTGAGTGGATAAAGTGCTTGCCATGCAGCTGTGAAGGTCAGAGTCTGGAACCCCAGCATCTACATAAAAACTGGGTAAATTTGACTAACTGCTGGTAATTTCAGCCCTTGAGAGGCAGAGAGAAATGATCTAAGCTAGCTAGCCACACTAGATGAATCAGCAAGTGCCACTCTGAGAGAGAGAGACCTTGCCCAGAAAATAAAGTGGAGGGTGACTGAGGAAGACATCTAATGCTAACCTTTCACCTTTACAAGTACACATGTGAACATGCACTCACACATACATGTGCCGAGAGATAGAGATAGAGATAGAGATAGAGATAGAGATAGAGATAGAGAGAGAGAGAGAGAGAGAGAGAGAGAGAGAGAGAGAGAGAAAAGGAGGGAGGGAGGGAG